GGGCCTCTCGAACGACGAGCGCGGCTTCGCGCGGTGGCTCGCGCACTTCGTCGGCGCCGCGTGGCGGCCGGCGTTCGCCAAAGCGCGGGCGAAGCTCACGCCGGAGCTGCTCCGCGAGCGCGTCGACGGCTGCCTCCACCCCGTGGACCTCCAGGCGCGCACGCTGGCCTGCCGCGACGACGAGCGGACGGGCGAGTCCCACTTCGAGGGGTCGGAGCGGACGGACCTCGCGGCCGCGCGGGGCAACCTCGGCGACGCGGACGTCGTGGGCCTCGCCGAGTTCTACCACGAGAGCGTGTGCCTCGTGCTCTACGCCTACGCCGGGGAGCTGCCGGAGTTCTGCGCCTGCGGGTCGACGGCGCCGTACCGGCACGCGGAGGTCCGGCACAACTCCGCGCACGCGGGCGTCAACGTGTCGGGCACCTTCGCGCCCGCGGCGGCGGCGGCGCTCGACGCGCTCACGGCCCTCGACGCGGCGCTCTACGTCGCGGCGCTGGCGCGGTTCCTCGCCGACGTCCGCGAGGTCGAGGCCGCGGCGGGCGCGCGGATCCTGTGCCCGGCGTCGGTCGCGCGCGCGCGGCCCCTCGTCGCCTACATCCCGGGCGCGGCGCGGCAGCTCGACGCGGCTTTCGAAGCGCCGGACGCGCCGAAGTGTGGCGGGTTATTTTGCTAGGGTGGGGGCGCATGAGCACGCTGAACGTTGACCTCATGGTACGAGCTTGCCGCCCGCGGCCGGGCCGCGAATTCTGCTCGTCTGGGGCAGCCTCTGTGTGCGGCGGCGCCGGGGCAGCCTCTGTGTGCGGCAGTAGTGAGAGCCGGCGCCGCGATCCCTGCTCGCTTGTGCAGCCTCTCTGTCAGGCGGCCGCCTTCTGTGCGGCGGTGCCAACCATCATGGCGGTGCCCGAAGAAGCCGCGACCATCAAGGCGGTGCAAACCATGATCGCGGATCCGGCCCCCCTGCCGCCGGCCGTCCGCGCGCTCGTGGTGGTGATCGCGCAGGACATGCTCGACCCCGAGCTCCTCGGAAGCGTCGCGCCGTGCCACACGGCCGTGGGCGAGGCCGCCGTCGCGGCCGCGGAGCGGATGCTCGCGGCGATCGGCCTGCCGCTCGACAAGGTCCTGCCGACCGGCCGTCGCCTCTTGGACGGACTGAATCGGCCCGCGCCCCCGGAGCCGGCGCCGCGGGGCCTCTTCCCGCGCCTCGCGTGCATGCGGCCGCTCGAGGGCCTCCGGGTCGAGGTGTCGGCGGAGGCGGCGGCGTGGGAGCCGAAGCTCCGCGCGGCCGGCGCCGTCGTCGTCGAAGGGGACGCGGACGTGCTCGTCGCGGGCGCCGACGCGCCGGAGCCGGCCTGGGAGAACGACGGCGAATTCCTCGCAGAGGGCCCCGTGGGCGTCGGCGGCGCCGCGCTCGACTTCTTCGTCTTCGATCCCTGGACGAGCGAGGAGCGGAATTTCACATCCGGCGCCGAGCTGAGCGACGACGACGTGCGCGAGCTCGTCAACGGGGGCGACGGCGACTGGTCCGCGGGCGGCGTCCGCGCGTGGCGCACGGACGACGCCTCGGGCGACCCCCCCTGGCAGGACCTGACGCTGCGGACGCACGAGCACGCGCGGAGCGGCGACAAAATTTACGAGTGGAACCACGGGATGGGCGACAACGATTACGGCAGCTACCACTACGCAGCGAAGGCTGCCGCACGGAGCGAGTCCGTCTTTTTTTGCTCCAACGACGGCGGCGATCTGCAGCTCCTCGAGGATTTCGAGGTCGCCGCCGCCGACGAGCGCGCGCTCGCGTCGGCAATGTGGTGCCTCGATCAAGACGACCTCGGGCGCGTCGAGGCGACGCCGCTCGCGCCGCGATTCAAGAACGCCGAGTTCCAGAGCTTCGCCCACAAGCTCGACTCCTGGGCCACCGTGCGCGATCGGCGCGCGGGCCGGACCACGGGCCTCGTGAGCGTCCGCGCGGGCATGTTCTCCGACGCCGCCGAACGCGGGATCGGCGACAGCGAGTTCGGCCCGACTGGGGCGCTCCTGCGCGTCGTGTCGCTCGAGCACTGCCGGTCGCTCGACGACGTATAACTCCAGCATAGAGCCCCATAGACGGTGACCGTCGGTGTGAATCAGGCCTTGAATCGCTAAGTGCCAGTTAGCCGCGGCTCAGGGAGGAATCGGAGGGAGAGATAACAGCGAATCGCCGAGTGCCACTGCCATAGAGGCGGGAGTCGCCGACCCGAGCGGTGTTGCTGGCGCTCGAAGGCCGCGATGGATATGCACGAGGAAATTGCGCGGAAATCCGTCACGGAAGCGCTTGTGCTAGCCAAACTCGACGGGCGCCGAGCAATCCCTCGTGATGAGCTATTCGCCCTCGCCCTCAAGAAGTCTCCTCGTGTCCAGGGTCGTTCAAGATGCAGCCAGAAAGCAGATATTGAAAGTGCCATCGACGCGGGGCTCTCGAACGGCGCGTTGAAGATGAAGATCACCGTGGGCACCGGCAAGATTTCTTTGGGAAAAAAACGCGAGATGAAGATCGCGACCGCGGCGAACGGTTTTGAACGTGCGTCGGACCTCCCGTCCGGAGTGCTCGCGCACGTGTGCTCATTCGCCGTTTCGTTTGGGGTCGATCTCGCCGCCTGGGACACGTCCAGTAAATCGCTCTCGGAGCAAGCGCCTTGGCGCACGCTCACAATGTCGCATTATCCTTCGCTTGGTCTTCTTGTCGCGGCAGACGTCGATCACGCCGCGTGGCGCGGCATCTACTGGCGAAATTCGCGCATGATCAACGACGGGTGTGGAGCGCCTCTGGCACGCGCTCCCTCATTGAGCGAATATATATTCACGTGGGAGATCTGGAACACGCAACCAACCATGGCCCACCGGGGACTAGGGAAAGTAGTCGAGTGTGGCACGTGGATCCCGGGAACTGGCCAAGACATCAACGGGCTTTACTTGGGCTCGGGCTTGAGCTACTGCGGCGCTTATCTCGAGGTATCTCTCGACTCGCTTTCCATGCCGGCCACCGCGGCTCTCCGGCGGAGTCTCCGAAACGGCTGTGACCACTGCTGGCTCCGTTCCGTCGTTGCCAAACGAGGTTCGATGGAAACCTTTCTGCTCTATGACTATTGGCTATTCCCCGGAGGTGACGGGCGCCACCATCTGAAAGAACTATCGTCACTTGACTTGATCAACGGATCATCGAGGTATGAAGGTCTGGTGTGGAGTCATCGCGGTTCACCTCCAGTGATTGCCTCCCCCGGTCTGATGGACGATTCGACTCGCATGTACTTGGCTTTGCAATGGGAAGACGACGATGGCGATGGCCTGCCTATGGAACTGTCTCATTTCGAGCAGTTCCTCGCGCACCGCGCGGACTGGTCGTGAACACCCCGCCATCGCGCTGAAGATCCTAAGAGTGGCTTCTAGAGCGCATGTAGCCTTAAGCACACGGACGCGCCGAGCGGGGTCGGCGGCCGCGGCGGTCCGCGGGGGACCGGCCGCGGCCGCGTCATGGGGCCCGGGGCGTCCGGCGCGGCGGCCTCCTCCTACGCGTTCTGGACCTCGCCCGTCGCGTCGAGGATGTTGATGCGCGCCGCGCGGAGCACGTCGGCGATGGCCGGGTGGTCGCCGGGGAACTTGTCCGCGTGGGCGAAGGCGACCTTGTCGTCGTCGACGACGAAGGTGCCGCCGAGGCGGAGGACGCCCTCGGGGATCTCGCCGAATTTGAGGTCCTTGGGCACGGGGCTCAGCGCGGCGACGTTCGTGAGGTAGCGCCACCAGGCGCCGGCGTTGAGCTTGGGCGCCTGGAGCTTGGACGCGGCGGCCATGCCGCCGGCCGTGTCGTCGCCGATCTTCTTGAAGCCCGCGGACGCGTACGCGTCGAACGTCGGCGAGTCGTCGACGAAGAGCGACTTCCGCGGCACGAGCGGGTTGAGGTCGAGGAACTTCTCCATCTTCTCGACGGCGGAGTCCGCCGGCGCGACGGAGATGAAGATGGGCCCGGCGACCTTGGCCGCGCGCAGGGACCCGAGGTAGGACGGCTGGCACCACGCGTTCGCGTAGTCCCAGCAGTAGGGTCAGCCGAGGTGCCGCAGGAAGACGACGACGGAGCCCGAGTCGCCCATGAGCTTGGACATCTCCGCGCGCTGGCCGTTGGCGCCGACGACGTCGACGTCGCGCAGCACCTTGGACGTCACGAGCGCCTCGTTGACGAAGACGGACTTGCCGTCGTTGCATGGCTTGCAGCCATCTCCGAAGGGGTTCCAGTCGTCGCACTCGCCGCAGCTGTCGGCAGCGCGCAGGGGCGCGAGCGCGCGAGCCGCCGACGGCGGCGCGAAGGCCGCCGCGGCGCCGAGCAGCGCCAGGGCCAGCACGGCCTGTCTCATGCCCATGAGATCGGCCACGCAACACGCTCTGATTCGCGTTGAAGGGATTGTTGACGCTGCTTACGAGACCGCCTCACTATTATTATTATTATTGTGTATTTAGCGTCGGAGGAGCCGCATGCCCAAGAGCACACACGGCCGATAGGCCTCGGACGGAAGAAGTTGAAGTAGGTGGGGCCGCTGCCCCCCAGCAGGGGCCGAAGGCCCACGGGGGGAGGATCAGCTTCCCCGGCGCCCCGAGGGGCGAAGCCCCGAACTCACTTGACCCGCACCTGGTCCTCCGCCGCCGTATCGCTTCCGCCCTTGACGCGGAGCAACACGCGGAGCCGCGCCGCGGTGTCGAGCCCCCTGCTTACGAGACCGCCTCACTCGACCCGCACCTGGTCCTCCGCCGCCGCATCGCTTCCGCCCTTGACGCGGAGCAACACGCGGAGCCGCGCCGCGGTGTCGAGCCCCGCGTCCTTGAGGAGCGCGTTGGCGAGGAGCGCGTCGTCGAGCGCGGCCAGGTCGTCGACCGCGAGGTCCGCGGCCGCGAGCGCGGCGTCGTCGTCGCCGCCCTCGGCGAAGACGGCGGGCTTCGCCGAGCTCAGGCGCTGCGAGTCCCAGGGCCCGAGGTGGTCCGCCCGCTGCGCGCGGAGCTTCATGAGCGTCGCCATGCCGATGAGCACGTAGGAGCCCAGCGCGAGCCCGAGCGAGACGTAGGAGATCATGAGGAGCGCCCAGGCCCAGGGGTTGTGCGTCCAGACGCCGTCGCCCCACTGGCCGTGCGCCGCCACGTAGCGATTCGGGAAGACGGCGACGAACAGGAAGTACGTCGTCTGCTGCGTGAACACGGCGCCCAAAATCGACAGGAGCGTCGCGAGGAAGCAGGGGACGACGGCCCAGCGCCAGTAGGCCTCGAGCTGCCTCGGCGAGTGCTTGCCCTCGGCGTCGTGGAACGACGTGAAGCTGATGCTGAGGTATTGTACGACCATAATCATGCCCGCGGACGACAGCGCCGCGAGCGAGAGAACGTAGTACTGGCCGAAGCGTTCCACGAAATGCCAGGACGTCTGCCCGCGGTAGCTCGCGCGGTCCCACAGCTTCGCGTAGCCGGCCTCGGAGACGCCGCCGACTTCGCCGTAGGAGTCCCGCGGCGTGAAGCGCTCGATCAATTCCGCGAAGTCCGCGTAGCCGTAGTTGAAGGGCAGCCCGACGACGCAGCTCAGCAGCAGCGTGTCGAACATCAGCAGCATGTTGATGAGCTCGCGGAGCTGGTCCACGGTGGGAGGCACGTCGAAGAAAACATCGTAGATGACGTTCACGATGGGAATGTACTGGTGCCACTTGATCTCGCGCACGATCTCGAAATTCGTGCCGTTCGCCGACGAGCTCCGGCGCATGCGCGTGACCTCGCCATCTTTTTTGGGTCGGGGGCTGTTCATCGGAAGGGCTGGGCAGCGATGCCGCTGTTCATCGGAAGGGCTGGGCAGCGATTTCAACCAGATTCCAACCGGCTGACAGTTGAAGCTTCAGTGAAAAGTTCACGATTAACCTCGCTAGTGGAAATCCGAGCTCGGCGCGGCGCCCGCCTGGCCGAGGACGTTCGCCGCGGCCTTGTGGCCGCAGCGGACGCACTCCGCCGGCGGCGCGCCGTCGACGTGGGCCGCGAGGTACGCGCCCGCGAACGCGTCGCCCGCGCCCGTCGTGTCGACGACGGTTTCCACGGGCGGCGCGGGGAACGTCGCGACGTCGTCGCCCGCCGCCAGCACCGTCGGGTCCGGCCCGAAGGTCGCCAGCACCGTGCGCGTCGCGTCCGCCCAGGTGCCGAGCGCCCGGGCGGCCACGACCGCGCCGGGCTTGTCGAGCAGCGGAGCCAGGGCCGCGTACTCCGACTCGTTGCCGAAGACGAAGGCCGCGACGCGCAGCACGTCGAGGAGCGCCGCGCTCGCGTTGGCGACGAGGTCCGCGCCGGCGAGATTCACCGCGACCTCGAGGTCGGGCCGCTGCTTCGCCAGCGCGACGACGCGGTCCGCCGCGCCCGGCACCTGGGCAGGAAAAGGGTGATTCAACGTCGCTTCAACGTGGATGTTCCGCGCGCGCGCGTTCCAGAAAAAGCATCCACGCTTCGAGAGCGCTCCGAGGGATGATCCCTCGTCCAAAAGTCAGCCGAACGAGTGGGAACCGGCCGAGAGAGGAGCCTTTGAAGTTGGGAATTTCGCACCCGTTTCCTGCCCCGCCCGGCACGTAGAGGAACCAGCCGGGCACGTAGAGCACGCGGCAGGTCGACAGCCAGGCGTCGTCGCCCCGGAAGAGCTCCGGCAGCTGCGCCGCCGCGAAGTCGGGCGACGGCGCGCAGCCGTCCGCGGTCCAGAAGATGGCCCGCTCGCCGGACGCGGCGTCGACGACGGGGCAGACCGTCGTCGTCCGCGAATGCGCATCGACGAGGCAGCGCGCGCGGAGGCCCGCGGCCTCGGCGGCGCCGACGACGACGTCGCCGCCGCCGTCGCCGCCGCACGCGAACCCGAGGAAGCCGACGGCCGCGCCGCGGCGCGCCGCGACGAGCGCCGCGTTGAAGCCCAGCCCGCCGGGCAGCCGCGCGCAGTCCGGCGCGACGTCGGCGAGGAGCGCGTCCATCGTCGCCCGGGACAGGCGCGGCGCCGTCGACCCGAAGGCGCCGCCGCGCGCCGCGACCCACGCCGCGTCGCGCGTTGCCGTCGCGTCGACGACGACGGCGTCGAGGCAGCAGAGCCGCACGTCGCCCGTCGCCCGCGTGCGCTTCACGGCGACGCCCCACCAGGGCGTCGCGTCGCGGATGGAGTGCTCGCGCGCGCCGAAGTCCGCCGCGGGGCAGTCGAGGAGCAGCGCCGCGAGGAACCTGGGCAGGAAAAGGCTGATTCAACGTGGCTTCAACGTGAGTGTTCCGCGCGCGCGCGTTCCAGAAAAAACATCCACGCTTCGAGACCGTTCCGAGAGATGATCGCTCGTCCAAGAATCAGCCGAAACGAGTGGAAAATGGCCGAGATCGGAGCCTTTGAAGTTGGGAATTTCGCTCTCTTGTGCAGCGCCGCGAGGAACGCGGCCGCGGACGCGGGCGGCGCGGCCGCGCCCCGCGCGAGCGTCTCCGCGAACCAGGCCGCGTGGGGCAGGCCGAGCTTCGCCGCGTCGTCGGCGTGGGCCCGCAGGCCCTCCGTGTCCACGACGCCGGGGCGCGCGGAGCCGCAGAGCACCGCGCCGCCGAGGTCCAGAGCGCACTGCGCCGCGAGCCGCCGGAAGGCGATTT